ATGCCCCTCGAGAGGCGAGCCCAGTTGTTGGTGTGTCTCCGCGTCCCACACCCGGATTGTCCTATCAAATGATCCGGACACAATCCATCGGCCATCGTGCGAGATTGCGACAGACGTGACAGTTTCTGTATGCCCCTCAAGAGGCTGGCCATGTTGCTGGCCCGTCTCCCCATTCCACACCCGGGTCATCTTGTCACTCGATCCGGACACAAGCCGTCGGCCATCGTGCGAGATTGCGACAGACGTGACCCGGGCTGTATGACCCTCTAGAGGCGAGCCCAATTGCTGGCGTGTCTCCGCATCCCAGACCCTGATCGTCTCGTCATTTGATCCGGACACAATCCGTCGGCCGTCCCGCGAGATTGCGACAGACGTGACCCAGTCTGTATGCCCCTCGAGAGGCGAGCCCAGTTGTTGGTGTGTCTCCGCGTCCCACAGCCGGACCGTGTTGTCATTCGATCCGGACACAATCCGTCGGCTATCGTGCGAGATTGCGACAGACGTGACCCATTCTGTATGCCCCTCAAGAGGCGAACCTAGTTGCTGGCGTGTCTCCGCATCCCATACCCAGATCGTCTCGTCATCCGATACGGACACAATCCGTTGACCATCGCCCGAGACTGCAACAGACACAATCTCTGTATGCCCCTCGAGAGGCGGGCCCAATTGCTGGCATGTCTCTATATCCCACACCCGGATTGTCTTATCACTTGATCCGGACACAAGCCGTCGGCCATCGTGCGAGATTGCGACAGACGTGACAATGTTTGTATGCCCCTCAAGAGGCGGGCCTAACTGCTGGCCTGTCTCTCCATCCCAGACCCGAATCGTCTCGTCAAACGATGCGGACGCAATCCGTCGACCATCGTGCGAGATTGCGACAGACGTGACAAAGTTCGTATGCCCCTCGAGAGGTGAGCCCAATTGCTGGTGTGTCTCCCCATCCCAGATCCGGATCGTGTCGTCATCCGATGTGGACACAATCCGTCGGCCATCGTGCGAGATTGCGACAGACGTGACCATGCCTGTATGCCCCTTGAGAGGCGAGCCAAGTTGCAGGCCTGTCTCCCCATCCCAGACCCGGATCGTCCCGTCATCCGATGCGGACACAATCCGTCGGCGATCATGTGAGATTGCAACAGAAATGACTCGGTCTGTATGCCCACGAAGTGTGCTCTGAAGCGATGGCCATCTATCCATCCTTCCTGCAGCAACGACCATGGCTCGAGGAAACCTGGTACATAGTGTTTGAGCAATGTGGCATTGGGCTGGAGTAAGAGGTAGGACAGATAGATAAAGATGTGGCGTGCTATACAGCATCGGTGAGGCAAAGATGCGGATCAGTCGTTCCGTGTCGGCGATTGCATTCTTGAGTTCCGCGTAATCATGATCGCCCTTGCGACGATGAGTTGAGTGTTTGTGCATGGTGATGATTGGGAAATGACACACCTTTAACCAAGACCACAATGAAGACAACGTCGAAGCGGGTCCACTCAGATTCTTCAACAGAGACAGCACTTCCAGCCAGAACAGCATACGTTCGTCATTGAACAAGGATTGCACTTTGTCCGCTAACAATGATTGGAACAACGTAGCCGTGACGTGCATAGTCCAGAATCGGCAGGAATATTGCAGCGCAGGAGAGATCCGAGTACGTATGCGCTCCTCTAAGTCGCCAACGGCAGAGTTAGGCAGGTAGGAGCTTTCTATGCGGCAGATATTGAAGCACAGTTCGTCTTTCATTACGCCGAGTGAGGCGAAGGCTAGCCTGCGCTGAGATGCCACTGATAGTTCGACGTA